TAGCCTCGTGTGCCGCGGGTGTTGCTATAGAAAGATTAGTGTTCAGCCGGAAGGAATAAACGCTTGGCCATGGTCGTCGGCAGTATTTTCTCTTGGGTATGCAAAGCATTGCTGCATCGCGGCTGAGGGAGAATGAGAGCACTGGTATAGCTTAAATGAGATTAAGTGCTGCTGTGGCTTTAGTGGGGCAAGTGCCTCTTTTCCACTTCTCTGCTGACGCTCATAACTTCCCTCTTTTTTTTTATCTATCGACGGCACTGCAAAACTTGCTCAATATGAATTAAGCACACATGCAGTAGTGAATACGTTATACAGCGTGTGTCAGCTGCATCTGTCTAAATTTGTCTGGTGGCTAAAACGCTAAAATTAAAGAGAAAATTGAAACTAGAACTATTTGAATCGGCAAGGTGTTGCTGCTAGCGCGTGAATTGAATGCACCTTTGAAACCTTAAGGGGAAAAATGTTGGACATGACAGGGTTGTTGAACAACAATTCACATCCATTGTCGTGAGCCGCGATTGTAATACGAGTGCAATACCACAGCCGCGCATAACGCGGGCGTCGCACGGCCACTCTCGATCGCTATCCAGCTCGCTCTAATTGAAGACTACAAAGCTTTAACTGGTTAACTCGCACAGTGAACGAATGAACCCAACGCGATGAAAATATTCTATTCCTAAGTGGCTCGATAGCGATCAAGAGTAAAAAATAGTTTTATATAGTCAATTGGGAAAAACGGCGCAAAAGAAGCCGAAGTAATGTCTGGCCTACTATAAATATACATATGTATCACTAGTTCAACGAGCTGATGCACTTTTTTCATTATTACATATTATGAACGTAAACATAAAATCAAGACTTCCAGGTGTGGCGAGAGCAACTGAGTTTTTCTCGTACCTTCATAAGAATCGGAAGGAAAAGAAAGCGAAGAAAATGAATAAAGCAACGCTAGTACTCGGAAGTGGAAGCACTGCGCCTACGCGGGTGGTGAGTGGCTTTCCCGCACAACTTGTTTAGATGCCTTTTCCGATTCCGATACTTATCATTATGTTCGCGCTTGGCCAATGTGGTTGCTAATCAGAGTGGCTGTCCATCCGCATCATCAACCAAATCTGCTAGCCACGAGCGACGGGTAAGAATGGCATAGAATAAAGCAAAAGTCTTCCACGATACTATGCCTCCATCTCGGCGTTCGGTACACTTTGACGGCGGACAGCTGCTGGTGTTAACGTGTTAAGGGGGGAGGCTACCATCGGATACCAACTTTTTTGTTTATTGAGATATCTTAATGAAATTTTCAGGAAATTTTATAGCAAAAGCATTAGAAGAACTACAAAATTTCATCAAGTTATGTTCACTGGTTTTCAAGTTACAGCAGAATATCAGGGTAGTGCACATGGTTCTCTTATTCCAGGCCTGGAGAACTTTCAAAAGGTGCTGGAACTGTGAAATTAACTATGATTCCCAGATTGATACTCCAGGGGGTAACACTCCAGGGGGTAACAGAGCCCTTTTTTTGAATTTCCTTGCTGAAAAGTTTTAGCAGACCATCAAACTTTGTGTTCGTGATTAGGATATTATCAATCAAATTTTGATTAAATGTAATAAATAACACACACAATATATTGAAAAAATGGGCTTGTCACCCCCTCAGAAATTTATTCATGTACATAATAAAAAAAGACTTATGGAAATCCAATGAGTGGTTCCAGAGATATGGCTGGAATAAGCAGCCTCACTAGCCAAAAAAGTCATTTTGAGAAAACGACGTTTGAAAGTTTTGAGCGCATAGGCAGTTCTAAAATGAACCTGCAGCGTAACTGGAGGTGTCCTTTGGCACTCTCTTTCTTTGCCGCCTTTCCATCTTCTCTAGGGATCGCTTCTTAGCCTTTTCAAGCGCAGAGAATCTTTCTCGGCTGCCCGTTGAATGGCCAGGTGGCCAGGTGTTAGCCCCACTGATGAAGCTAGCTCTTGGGTGGCCCTGTAGCAGCCAGCATTGTATCTTAGCACTGCATCATGCAGTGCTGTCTCCACAGCAACCAGTGACGCATGCTGCTCTTTGGGCATGAGGGACCACAGCACAGAGTGAGACGACTCTGATGCATTCTGCGTCTTTGCTCCCAGGCAGCGTTGCAGAAGAGAAGCCTGTGAGAGCCTCTCATAAATGGGTAGAAGTGCATCTGCAACATAGCGTGGCAGCTTGTACGAATGCTTCGTAGGTGGAACACCGGTAATCTTGCTGGCATTGTGACGACACCAGGAGTCTGCACCCTCTGGGCACAAGTCGTGGTGCGGCTCCTCATCCGTCGACGTCACATGGTGGTACGATGCCATCACTGCCCGCCGCATTGCAGCCACATCATCGGAATTGTTCCGTAGGGCCCAGCCATAATAATCTGTCAGCTTGTCGATGAGGGCCTTTGTCAGCCTGCCCTTCCCTCCCAAAGCCTTGTCACTTTTCTGCACAAGGTTGCGAAGTGCAGTCCCCATCCTCTTCTGAACGTGGTTCAGGCATTCCTCTTTTGAAATGGGGGACCAGTCCATAAACATTTTCTTGTACAAGGGCAGAGAAGGTGGCACAATCTCCATCAGACACGAGCGTTGTGTAACGGAGGTTGTGCTTCGACAGTGAGCGTGAAAAGAGGATGATAGCTGCCTCAACCTCCATTCTCCTTGATTTAGAGTCGGTGTTTTTCTGGCACACATGATTCTCCAGCCAGCATGCATAGTCTGCGTCTCCAGGCTTTGGCCCTACTTGGCAACCAAGGCACTGATTAGACAGAACAACGGCGTCCAAGATAAGGCCCGTATGGTATTCGATAATTGCCCCGACTCCAATATGGGACGTGTGCCCATGCTTGTGCCATGTTCCATCATAACAAACTGTTATATCCTTGGTGAAATATTGATCCATTTCTTTGTAAGTGGCTTTTACAGCAGAAGCAGATTCTGCATAGAAATTTTCTATGCATTGTGTCTGCGGTTCCCTGAATTTCTTCAGGTGCTTCTGACAGGTCTTGTGATGGAGGCCACGATGGGACACGTTCATCGCTGCCCAAAAGTCGTTGAGAGCTGTTTGTCCCTTGCCTATTTTTGTTGCCATAATGGCTCTTACATTCGCATCAAAGGCCTTTGTGTCATCCTGACGAGATGAACTCCATGAGCTTGAAACTACTCCACAATGCAAGCATACTAGCTCAAGCTTTGCAGCAAGTCCAAGTTGGGTGCCTCCTCGTACCTTCATCCCAATCGCGGTGCACCGGTGGCACGGGGTCCGAGATAGCAGGTCGTCTAGGGCATCCATTTGCACAAGGAAAAATTTTTCGCCTTCACTTGTAGCGGTGGCAGCTTCATGATCGCGCTCCATTGCCTGAAATTTCCGCTCCGTCGCTGGCATAGCGCCAAGTTCTCTTTGCACAGCAGCGCGTTGTTGATCCGGCGCCTCTTTCTCCTCGCACGTCAGGAAACTTGTTCACAAATGCACAGTTGACGACGCGATCGCACTCGAGGCCGACGAAAGAGAAGATGCGGAAGCCACTGTCGATGAGCACGAGACACCAGACGCACTTGTAACGACAAATTCTTGCACCGGCGGAGCAGGAGTCCCGTTGCTAGGCGCGTCGATGCGACCACTCTCTTGCGTAGATGAAGCAGAAGCTGCCCCACAGGTACCGTCGGCGCATGTGCGAGCGGAGAGCCTCGCCGCGCGGACAAGCTTCATAGCTCGCTTCCTTGCACCGAACGATTGTAGCGTCTTCTTTTTCGTTGGGCGCATCGTGAGCAAACACAACAACGGTCTCGTAAAGACGGTTGAAAATCGTCTCGTAAAGACGGTTGAAAATCGTCTCGTAAAGACGGTTGAAAATCGTCTCGTAAAGAAGGTTGAAAATCGTTTCGAAGACAGTTGAATCGTGGAGAGTATGCGAACGGCTGCAACGATACACGGAAGCAAGCGGAACACAAAGACGCCGGACAGAGGAGCAGCAGACGAGCGGCCGCATCGGCCGCATTATGCGCAAGAGCGCTACGTCATCGCGCGCAGCAGCCAATGGCAGTCGCGGGCTCCCCCGCGTCCTTGGGGAGCGCGCGCTTCGCCCAATCCCAGCTGCGCGCCTCAGCCGCGGGAAACTTGAAAGCTCTCGCGAGCCCTCCAATCATGAGCGGCTTGCTCCTCTCCTGCGCTGCCGCCGGCGACGCAGGTGCCGGTGAAAGAGCAAGAATTCACAAACAAAACACCAAAATGGCGGCGCTCCGTCGAGCGGTCGAGAAACTGCGATCACGCCAAGTTGGGGTATTTTGAGCGCTCGCGCGCCGCTTGAGGGCCGCCGCGGCATGTTCTAAACTTTATTTCAAATGGTTTCGCGACGAATTAGACGTTGATATTTACAAAAAAGGTAGTTTATGACACATACTGCCCGAATATGTGGTTTGCCAAAAATCGACTTTTTCGCGATTTTTCGGTTTTCAAAGGCCGCGTCCCCCCTTAATGCAACTGTTTGGTACGTTTATGAATGCGATTGTAGGCGTTGTTTCGGCGTGCTTTTTTGCATCGTGACGCTGCTGGGAAAGATAGGAAGCAGTGGACATTTTTTTGGATTTTGAGAATAAACGTTCCTTTGTTTTGTCAGCTCAGATCAGCTATATATATATATATATATATATATATATATATATATATTTATTTATTTATTTATTTCCCTACAACGAAATTTTTTCTGCACCCCATTTGTTTCGTTGTAGCAGGGTTCGACTGTATAATGACTTGAGTTAATGTTTCGATTGTCAATGGCACTGGTGCAAGTGGGTTCATTACGCGAGTAAATACGGTACTTCGGAGAAACATCAGCTGCTTAGAGTAATCTGGAGACCTTTGCTTGCCTAATGACAGCACTGCAGCTAGTGCTACGGCAGTCTACAAGTCTAAGGGAGTTTGTAAGGTGCTGCGACTTACTTGGGCCTGTGTGTGGCGATGTTTTGATGAGCTCCTCAATTCATTTCAGGGTGAAGTGTCGTACATCAGGGTGCGTGAAGACTACAGCAGCCGCTCGCGCAGCCGAAGCCGCAGCTACTCTCCACGCCGCTCTCGTGGTTCTCCCACGTACTCTCCAGCCCGCCGGTCTGGGTCACGAACACCATCACGCTCCCGCTCCTGCTCGCACTCCAACTGAACTGGGAACATTTTGAGGTCTGATGTACGATGGACAGCATTGTGCGCTCCACAGGCAACCTTTCCGACCAGGGTTTTTTTTTTTTTTTTTTTTTGTGAATCATTGTAGCTTCATTACTTTTGTTTTCTTGCATTGCTGTGGTTGATCCAAAGTGTTGTTGCACTGTGTTAATTTCGGGCCGTAGCATTGGGTACCATCCCATCATTGTTCAAAATCCGGAAGGTCAGCTGTCCGCTGTTAGAAATTTTTTTACTCCAAAGTAGAGTTCCCAGGCAATCATTGATGCTGAGCATTAGCAACTGGCTTCCAGCTTTATTAGAGTAGTCAGAATTAGCACCTGTCATACTAATTCTATGTCCAAATGATTTTCGTGCATATGCATAGATTAATTTTTGTTCTTTATTCAAGTACTGCTTAAATTGTCGCTTTTGTAGTGTGGGAATGTCATTTTTGCATCACCATTTCATTAGCCCACCGTTTTGTGACAAGCCATGTACAGATTGTTTTTCACCTTTATTCTTGTCACCAGAGTAGCGCACATGTAGAAATCGTATGCATACACATGCACTTTCAGCCTGTTCATTTGTATGTTGGCACATCATGCAATCTTAATCGGGTAGCACTTAAGCTTACACCAGCTGCAGCAAAAAGCACATTTCGATATGAGTGTTTGTGGTGTGTTGTTTGCAAAGCAAAAAAAAAAAAAAACTTGTCTTGTGAATGGCGATGCCCATCTCTTGTCTCAATCTGTTTGTCTGTCTAGATGCCACAAAACGGGAGGATGGCACACGTCGCTGAGGATCACTAAAGTGGATATGTTTGCAGACACTCACATTTGGATCGGAGGAGCTTAGCGGGTGGATTGTGAAAAAAAGGTGTGGTGCTGCCCTACCGAGGATTTGGCAAGGCGCACGCGGCAGGAAGGGGAGAAAAACAAAAAACGTTTTGTTCAGTAGAGCAAGCGCTGGTTCGGGGAGCGCAAGAGGAATACGGCGCTGGGAGAAGTGGCTTGCACACAATGGCAGGAGGAGAACACGCCGCGTAGCGCATAGGAAGGAGCAGCACGCATCCTGCACACGGGAGACGGAATTGGCCATCAGGAATTCGGAGCCTCATTTCAGGGTAGGCCCCTCCCTAAACCAACCCCACATTGACGCTCGCCGTCGCGTTGGCTCGTGCGCTCTCACTTGCTCCCCCCTCTTTTTGGAAGGCATCTTACGGCTCTGCCGGGCCAGGCCTGCTTCACTTTGTAATCTGCCATCCTTCATGCTTGTTTTGCCGGAAGACTCGGTAGCCTTATAAAAGATACATGCCCAGGGTGCGAGCGTTCACTAACCTCCTGTTCTCTTTTTCACTGTCTATGCTTATCTAACGAGCCCTGTTGTGCCCTTTTGAAATTGCAAACATCAAGGTGCACTTTCTAGATTAAGGCACAGTATGGTAGTTGACACTAGCTCATTTTCTTATTCAAATAAAGTGTAAGGGTGGCTCAAAGCCCGGCAAAGATCCTGGATTTGAAAAAACCATTAGGCGACTCCTTTGAAGATGAATGACGAGAGTCTATGGCTCTCTCCTCCCAAGGCTTGGAACAAAGTCCGATGATGTCGTCATTCGGGTGTGAAATGCACATTTTGTTCATCTACAGGGGAGTCGCTGATTTTCATTTTACTCGTTATTGAGGCTGCAATATTATCTTGGGACACATTGCGACAACTTATTTGCAGAGTGCAGTGTTTTAAACATCTGCAGGATGGTCTCGCTAGCTTAGAATTTCCCCCATGCTGCTGTATTAAAACATTTTGTGGCTTTTTGCTGTATCGTGCAAGTGGTGCCTACTGTAGAGCTGTTGTCCCCTACCCAAGCAGTGCAGGAAAGGGAGTTGTACCCCTTTTGTTTTTTATGCACAATTGTGTGAATTTGTTGCGAGGATAGGGGTGGTGGGAGCCGTTCATGCCACTCTGCTTTGCTAACCGTCCTGTCCTGTTTTCTTGCCAAAGGTCTCACTCCTGACGAGGAGGAGGACTGACACGCAGGGGTTCAGGACCTGTTTACACGTGTGTGTGGAATCTGGATCAATAGGAATGGATGGAATTCAGGATTGGATCCACACATGGCAGGATGCAAACAGGTGCCGTAAGAGTTGCGCACAACTGTGGGATGGAATGGTGGGGTGGGCTGTTGTGGCTAGGACTAGATGCAGCTTTGGGACGGTTGGTGGGCTCTTTTTCTGCAGCTTTTTACAGAGAAGTACTGGTATTATAAAGCAGTACTTATAGCGTTAGCTGTGTACTCTCACTTAAAATTGGGCAATCAAATTTAGGTATGCAATCAAGCCTCATAACAGTTATATTTTACTTGAAAACAAGTTCGTGATACCTGAAAATTCGTTATAAAATCTGTTCCTAACATTATATTTAGAGGCTACTAGTTTGCATTTGCTCGGTTGTAACCGAGGTTTGAGTGTAGCTGAGAGCTGTTTCTAAACAATCAATGGGCTTGCTTCAAAACGCAGTTTTTTCAGGACTTGTCAGAGGTGAGTATGAACAATGGGGCAGCGTGGGATCAGTGGCAACTTGGAGGTAGAGCAATCTAGCCTGTAGACCTTGTGTTATCAGAGTCGAGCTCATGATTTTGAGGTGGCATTAAAATTGACATCTGGTTTGACTCCTGGCTTCTGTGTTATTTACATGCATACTGTTCACTTCTCTCGAATTTCCCCTTGTGGGTTCGATCCTGGTGGAAATGGTTGCAATTTGATAGATGAGTGAAATCCTCGAAGGCGATGTGCCGTCTAATGCTGGTGCAAGTTGGCAAACTGCAGGAGCTTGAATTTATTGGAAGCTCTACTTGGCAGTGTCTTTGGGTGCCTAAGTTGCATTTGAACCAACCAATCTAGAAATATCTGCAGCAGACAGTAGCAATAGCGGCAGCTGCTGCTGCATTTTCGATGGAGGTGAAAATGCTGCAGGCCCGTGTGCTCAGATTTGGGTGCACGTTAAAGAACCCCTGTAGGTCTAAATTTCTGGAGTTCACGGTGGTGTCTCGTAAACGTTTGGTGGTTTTGGAACGTTAAAGTCCACATATCAATCTGAAGGCAGTAGCAACAAGCCAATAGGAGGCAGCAAGGTGTTAATGGCAGAAACAAGGCTGTTATAAATTCTGGCATGTCAACACATTGGAGGCGGGGGGTGCACAATTTGTCTCGCTGGCTGGTTACCACTGCTACAATAATGAAAGTGGGCACTTGAGCTAATTTCTACTGCGCACTTAGAAATAAGGCAGAAGAGCATTCAAAAATTGCTTCGTAAATTTTTCATAGTTTTGTCTGTTTATTCCTTGCAGATGTAATGCTGTGGTGGTTGATTCTTGCCATCAAGAAAGTAGGACATCACAATTGCTTTTAATTAGGGAATGTTCTGTGGATAGCATTCAAGGTGCTTGGTATTTTGTCAGTTTTGTGTTTGAGACCAGAGAGGTTACAATGGAGACAGGCACGGGTCATTATCGAACGGTTGCGCATGTGTTGGTGCAAATAGCCTTTTCAAATGATGTTCTAATAGCGTATTTACTCGCATAATTTGCGCAATTTTTTGCGATTTCAAGGGCGTGTGCAAATTACATGTGTATTTCGTAGCGCATACGCATTATTGTGTCATAGTCCTAATGTGTAGTATATACATATACAAAAAAAGTTAATTGGCACATAAACGAAGTGTACTTAAAAGGTTTTCGCTTGCTTTAACCAGTCAGATCCGGTCACGCACGGTCTAGTGGGAATCGCTTTTTGCAAAGTCCGATTGGGAATCGTCGCGGCCGCTGCCACTGCTTTCCCGAAGCGCATGGCCCTCAGTTCTGTTCAGCGTGTTCAAACGCCCCATTTTCTTGAAGCTCTGTTGACGATGCTGGGAGAAACTTGGTCCCGTGACACGATGATGCCAGAAGAACTAAGCATCCGCGCATAATTGCAAAGGCCTCCTTTAATGGCAGAAAACTTGCATTGGCATGTGCGCGCTCTTTTCTCGCGCACTGATTGCGCCGGTCGTCACGGTGAAGTACGTCCCCTTCAAGTGCTTTGCGGTGGCACGCTTCGTTTTCTTCGTCAAAATTTACAACAGCGAGCTTCAGTTTCGCTGTATAAGTAATTACTGTAGCACATCGCAAGGGAACAGTGAAAATGCGTCGGCCAATGGTGAAACTTAAATTTCCGAAATCTACGAAGAGTGCGTTGCAGCACAGACGCAGAGAGCGAGGGGAACACTTGGTGCGACAGGCCCTCGCACGCCTCTGATGCAGAAAGTTTTCTGTGCCTTGACGCGAGCATGCATTCTCGCCTTTGTCACGATGGTAGAGATTGGGAGATGGGTAGGCAAACGCTCGAGCAGTTCCGGCGACCCGTGTAGAATTCTTTTTTCTGCAAGAGCGTGAGCGCACAGAGGAAAGACGAGGATCAGCTGCAGCATTCGCCATGAACATGTCAGTGCACAAGTATGCTTCAATGTGAATATATCCTTATCACTCTCAACTGGTCTGGTTTATTCAAGTGGTGCTGAAACCTCGGATTTCCACGTGCCAGGACTCTGCCCTACCGGAAGACAGTATCTCTGAAAGCAGGCGGACGATATTTCCAGTGACAGATGTCAGCGATGCAACGGAGAGCCAGGCTGGGACCGAGTTACGCCGACTCGTCAACGAAAGTGACAGCAGCCACTGGCTGCTGTCACTTTCGTTGAAGGTGAGCGTCGGAACTCGCAACCACGAGAGGGGTCACGAACAGTCTTAAAGAAAAGTGCACGTCACGTCGACAAATGAACACAAGCCTCAATAATGAAGCTAAAAGCACTTTAGAAAGTGTAGCGACATCACCACTGTTGTGTCACTTACCGAAATGCTGGAAGCGAACAACGCAGAATTGGACAAGCTGAACGAGATGATAGAAGAGTACTTTACTGATGAAAAGTTTGTGGCGGAGTTTGAGGCAGTCGTGAGATACCAAGACGCTGCTAGAGGACCGCTTAGAGAATTAAAGGCTAGAGAGGCACTACTGAGACTTGACCAGTCTTTGTCCGTGACAGTGCAACCGGCTGCGACGCCCATTGTTCAGAAGCTTGACGAGACTCGTGCCTAACATTCCATAAGACTCTCAACACTTCAGCTGCAGACATTCTCTGGAGAAATTTGTAAGTGGCCTTGTATTCTAGGAACAATTTAAGGCATCAGTTCACCAGCATGAAGGTCACAAAAAGTGAAATTTCAGTACTTACGGAACTTACTAAGTGGTGTGGCTGCAAAAGCGATCAAGGGCCTACAGGCGACTGAAGAGTTGTGATGATGCCATCGACACCCTCTCAAGCCGTTTCGGGAACAAGCATCTCGTTGTTCAAGAGCACCTACGACGCTTACGAAAGCTGCCGAATATAACGCCCTCCAATGACGTCCTGGGCCCAAGAACTTCATACGATTTCGTCCAATGCCACATAACGCGGATTGAAAAGCCTCAACATTAGTTCGGCTACTTGTGCCGCGATGACAGCCGACATATTGCTCAGGGTTTTACCGGCAGACATCGTGATTGGATACCACCGTGATCGAGCCAGTGGTACGCCAGCTTCCAATGAAGCCCATGATAGCAGCCATGAAATTTCTGCAAGCGAGGACTTGCAAGGTTTGCCCAAGTACCTTCGAAAGGAAGTAGAAAGCCGGGAGTGAAGCGATGAAAGTATTGAAAAGAAATGCAACCGACCTGGAGTCGAATACCTTAGTCTTTTCATCCATTAACAGGAGCAGCACTGTGCACGTCCTCAAAGACAGAACAAGGCGCGTTTCTTGTGTAGTTCAGCGAACCATATTTCAGATGGCTGTACCTACTAAAACAGCAAAGAAGGTAAATTGAAGAGGCTGACTTCTGACAATCTCTGCTTTCATTGTACCGTAGCAGGTCACTGTGCCAAAACGTGTCGAAAGGTAAAATTCCAAGGTCGACTTGTGTCTTCAATGTGACCTGGCATGGAAGCCCAAAATATCTGAAAATACGAGTAACTCAAGTACAGTCGCTACAAACAGCCTTCAAGGAAGTTCATACGCCAGTCTCTAAACAGGGAACACTAAGTTCACCTACGTCCGAGGCATAGCAGGCTGTGGTAGCCAATGCACTATCATACAAGATGTGTCTAAGACGCTTGGTTTGAAAGAAACGGTGAAGATTAGCCTGAGCCTCGATCTTTGGACAGACAGGATCTTTTTCAAGGCTGCACTGCATCGTGGAACTTTGATATTGTAGTCAGTACAACAGCACCGAACACTTTATTCAAGCGATTGCGATTCCCTTCATTTGCAATGACGTAGTACAGGTACCAGTGAATTCATAAGGGAAATTGAACACAGTGAATGCCCCATTGCTGACAAGCTATTTTCACCAGGAATGGCCACTGCACCTGGAATAAGTTTCTTACTTGGAGCGGATTACTTGTGGAAGTTTGACGGGAGAGATTTGAGGCTGCTCCGGTAACAGACTTGGTCTCTCTTGGTTCTAGCTTCGGGTGAATGTTTCAAGGGCCACCCTTCAGTACATAAGTCAATGTCACAAGTGAGCGTACGTGTGAACACCGCCAGTGAGACGACCGATAAGGTTCTATGAAAGTTTTGGGAACTTGAAAGCATTGGAATATTGCCAGAAGATGGCAGCGCAGCCAAACGCAATGCTTTGGTCTTAAATGTTTCACAGAAAACTCATTTGTTGACGGTCAATATGAGCTTGCTCTCTCATGGAAAGCAGACGGCAGAACATTTGACAGTAATTGAGTGGAAGCTTTAAAGAGATGGTTGTGTTTCGGAAAGAAAATTAAGCGTAATAGTGATTTTGCACTGTAATACGAGTCGACCATCAGCACTTTTATCAAGATGGGACATGCTGAACCGGTGGCCGAAGAACCAGAAGGAGCTAGCTGCCATTGTATAAAGTAAGTCTACAACTACAAGAGTATGTGCGGTGTTCGACGAGTCAGCACATGTTCCTAACTACTCTTCACTGAACCAATGCTTAGAAAAAGGTCCCTTTTTTCTGACTTGGTGACTCTTCTCATACGATTCCGGATGAACCGGATGCTTTAACAGCTGATATAGACAAGGCCTTTTTACAGATCGGTATTAGAAAGGAAGGCCGAGACGCTCTGCGGTTTCTCTGGTTCAAAGACGTCAAACTACAGCAAATCCTGAACCTGAAATTGAAAAGTGGAGGATGACCAGAGTTCCCTTTGGAACTGCAGCAAGCCCATTTCTACTGAATGCCACTTTGCGACAACACCTGACGTCCATCCAAGGCCTACACTACATTTTAACTACGGCCTACAGCCTAGACTTTAACAGAATCGTACGTGGGTGACCTTCTCATCGGAGCTCCAACAGAGCTTGGAAAATCGACCGAGAAGCTAATGAGATGATGGAATCGGCAGGTATGCATCTCTAAAAATGGGCATCAAACTCAAACTTGCGTACCTCAGCTGTTTGCTGCTACTGAGGAAACCGTTTCTTCATACTGCGTGAAAGTGCTCGGACTTGTATGGAACCCGTCAACAGATGTTATGATGGTTGCAAAGTCGGAGCTTGGCTTCTTGTAGACAGAGCAAAAACCATGCAAGAGGTCTGTGCTGCAACTGGTATTAAGAATA